TTTTTTTTTTTTTTTAATATTTGGATTTTCTATCTTCCCTAAAGACGACTACCACAACAATCCAGTAAATCTGTTAAAAACAAGAGGAATCTATGTAATTTTGGTTTTTTTTTTTGTAAAAATTCAAATTAAAAACAGAGAAGGCCAAAAAAGTTGGTTATATGTGTAAAGAATCCAAAAACAAATATTCAGAAAGCCAAGATTTAGATTGACATCATATGTACCTTACAAATATAAAATAATTCAATTTCTACTGTATTACTAAATTATAAACAGAAATTACCACATAACCCAATAAAATTACCAAACCTACTGTAGCAATGTGCTGGAAATAAATTCAAAATGATCTTGGATGTAGATTAACATCAGCAATGGTGATTTGGTGAATCATTCTCCAAGACTGAGATAAATTGTGTTTGGATATATTTTCTAGTAATTTTTATATTGATCACTGAATCTGATTTCGTACATCCAATCTTATATGGTTTATTATTATTTGTTAATCTTGTGTTTGTATACTTTTTGCTATTTGGCACACAAGCGGTATATGAAAGATTTCTGAATTGGGGTGGTGATTATCATGTTGTGTGTTAGGGTTTATATATGGACGAAGACAATCCCAAAACTGACAAAATTGAAAGTTTGGGGAACAGATTTTCGGACAGAAAATATGGAAAAATCACAGTAGTAGATATAAAGAAGACGATCTTGAAAGGAAAGAGTATTTCTTGGAATCCATTTTGAAATTTTATAAACTTTAACTATAACGAAGAATATGTCAATTGGGGATTTAGGGCGTGATTTGGAATGATTTGAGGTAGGGGTTAATTACTTGATTGGTCACTGAACTTTAATCAAGGTTATCAAGAGATCACCGAAATTCAAAAGTTTCTCCGTTAATTACTAAATTTTACAAATGTAATCTCATTCATCACTGAGAACTTCAAAGATTTCCCTATTAATCATCAAACTTTACAAAATATAATCACATCCATCACTAGTGACTAATCGAGAAACTTTTGTAAAGTTCAGTGACTAATGGAAAAAATTTTGAAGTTCAATGACCCTTTGAAAATCTTTCACAAAGTTCAATAACCAATTAGGTAATTAACCAATCTTTAAGTTTTTAGTCTTTTTCTTTATTTATTATTTTTTCTATACTCTTACCCCACAATTTTATTATCTTCATCGTCAAACTTAGAAAAAAATGATGATAACCTTTATCTCGAGAGTAACCAAAAAGGTTGTCTGTTGACCTCTCAAATATCAAAGAGGCAATAGAGGATAATTCTATTGGCTACTTCAGCTTCAATCGTCTTTCAATCAAGACAAACCTGAAAAAAAATCACATCTATTGGATTTTTAGTTGAAGATATCCATGAATTTCAAAATTGAATACTATGAAGTGATCAATGATGAAGGAATTCTTTCCCGAAATAGTTGATTGCATTAACTGTTGTTGTCTCTTTGATGTTAAAGATGTAAGCACACAACCTTGCTAGTTACTCTTAGGATACAGGTTTTTTGTTTAAAGGTTCGACATTGCTAGATAAAATAAAAATATGGGATAGGAGTCAAAAAAAAAAAAAAAAAAAAAA